GGATTTGGATGCTGTAAATCTTGACGTCTAGGGTAGTTCTGGTCTTTCTTTTTCTACTTGTTCGGCAAAGGATCTGTCTGCTGCACAAAGAGACGATTCTGCCACTTCAATTTGCTTACAGCGAGGTGATTCTAACCACACACTTCCAGGTATTTACATATGTGTTTCTTTATTCAGTATTCTTCAGCATCTTTCTTCTCTTGCAGATCACGAGGTGCCAAGCCACTTTGAAGCCTCCTGGTCTGAAAACACCTTGCTTTCAAAATAAAAAAGAACAGCGTCGAAAACAAAACCTCGCAGCCGTCCTTCCCCCAGATACAGGAACACAAATCCCTTTCGTATCATTTAATCACAGCTATAGCCCTACAGCCCTTGCCTTTTGTCATTACCGTGCTAGAAGAGAATATTTAGCATGATTGTCGGTAATACCCTTAGTGCTTTATCTTCCCACCACTTTCTTGCACACAGAGAGACGCAGAGACTCCCACATCCCTGACTTCTCCATCCCTTAGTCAGTTCACAGTTGGATGATTTGGTTCCTTTCTCCCTTTTTTATATACACCATTTACAAACTTCTGTGCATCTGGGCTCTCTGCAGGCTGGTGATGTGGCTACAGGCCACGGGTGCCCTCTGCATTTTGGACTCGTGGGTGTGTGTGTGAGTCTGCACACCCGAGTGCATGTGTGTGCTCTAGAAAAAGGCAATGTTTGTCTATCCTCTCCCTATACACGGAATCCAGGCCAGTGCGATGTGGAGCTCAATAAGAAACTGCATGAATAAACACGAATAGAAAGTTGTGCTCAGCTAACCGAGGAAATCAGAGCAATACCAGGGCACCAACGTCCACATTTCTTTTCACTTCGGGCTGGGGCAGTAACCTCATCTGGGTATGCTAAAAATTAAGGGCAACGGGCAAGCAGATTCAAGTCCCTCGAAAAGGCTGCTGTAATTGATCGGACAGAGAGAGCTGGGGGTGACCAAAGCCCACGCCTGACCGTGGAGGGCCGGCAGCAGCCGCGGCCCAGCAGGCACACAAAGGACCCCCAGCCAAGCTAAAGGGCTAGGGCTGGCCCTCGGGCAGCGACCACGGGGAGAAAGGGAGGGAGGAGGGCAGGTGGCTTCGGTGGTCCCCAGTACTCCTCGCCGGTGGAACCGCAAAGCGGAGTTCGTTGGGGATGAAGACAGTGTTATAGCCCCACGGCGAGGGAGTGGGCGGTGAGGGGGGTAACTACCGTCTCCAAACTGCTCCGGAACCAGCTGGTCTCGGCCCGACTTCCGACGGGCGGGGCGGGGCTGTGCCTCTGCGGCGGCGGGCGAGAGGCGGCGGTGCGGGACTGGGGGAGCGGGGCCGACCGGACCGGCTGCCGCGGAGCCAGCGCGATGGGCGTCCGGGCTCCGGCCATCTGCCTCCTGTCCTTCGGTTTTCTCGTAAATATTGATCAAACACATTTCAGCTTCCGAGTGATTTCATCTTAATCAACGGCCAGGCTCGGAGAGGATAAAAAACTAATGCTGGAGAGGGGCTGTGGATAATGCCGGGCCAAAGGCAGGGAGGAGGCAGCCCTCCAGTTTGGCGGGGCTCGATAGGCCCTATCTTCCCGGGGCAGATGGACTTAGTGGGTGAGAAGGCTTAAATGCAGCTTTTCATAGATTTACACCTCAATCAACCATTCAGGTTTCTAATGCAAATCCTAAAAAAACATCATTTATCCATTACGAAGCCCGGCTTTGAAACGGCATATTATTAGCTGCACCCTTGGAACCCCGAAACCGCGGAGGCACCTGCACCCCGGATGAGTGTATGTCTTCCCCCCGCGGCCGCCCCGCACAAAGATCCATGGGCTCCAGGAGAGGGAGACACCTTCAGAACGGCTGGGGCAGCTCCCTCCTTCGGGATTGGGCTGAAGATCCGACCAAAGGAGCAACTTTGGGGAATGCGGGTGACAAATGGCTTGGGAGGAAAGGCCCTGCCCTTAAGCTTAAACTGTCCTAAAGCTTAAGTCCAGGTACTCGTAGGGCGAGGATAAGGGAGATCTCTGGCATCCCCTAACTGGCACGGAACGACGGGGCGATCTTCTGGAGGATTAATCAGAGGGAAGAAAAATCCAAACCTATCAGTGTGAGGCTGAGCTGAGGTAGATTACTGCTGCCGGCTTGATGCCTTCTAGCTGCAGCTTCGAGACGCGAAAATGAAGAGAAAGAAAAAAAATACATCCCAAACTTTCACGCCTCTGAATCTTTTCAGGTATTAAATTCCCTTAAAAATACTGCTGGATAAGAACGACACTGCTATCAAGAGGAACAGAAATACTGTGCTTCAAAACAGTGTACCGACATAGAAGATCTTCCTACCCAAATCTGGGGGTGACTGGAAGGCTGGAATTCGTTGTTCTAAAGGCCTCTCCACTTTCTCGATGCCGGGGAAGGCGGGGGACAGAAAAAGCAGCCTGAGCTCTAGCGTGAGACCCGGCAAAAGTGCCAGCTACTGGGGAATCTTTAATCCCCTCCTGGGTGAGATTTCTCCCCTCTAAAAGCCGCGTGGGGGAGGGGACGAACTAGGTCCATCACACCACCCACGCGGAACACGGGAGCCCTATTGTGTGTCTGCCCCCAAGCAATTCCCGTCCATTCCAGTTTCGTACAACTGGACGTTATTTCCTGTTAACTCCCCACTCCTGTTGGCGGCGGGGCAGTGACACCACAGGAGGTGCCCGTGGGGAAGACCCTGCCTCGGAGCCGCGCGTTGAGCGAAGCCCGCGGGGCAGGGCTGGCGACCCCCGACGGGGCGGGGGCTGCCTCGGGCCATATGTGTCCTTCCCCGCGGTGGCTCCCGCCACACGCGGGGACGTGTTCCGTACGTGCTGGCTGCACGCACACGCGCGGCGTGTCCTCAGGGGAACCAAAGGTGTATTAACGTATTCGCACGTCAGCTTATTTCTTAAAACTACCCATTAGTGGCCTGGTCTAAGATCTCACACCCCATGGGGGTTCTCCCAAATCCACAGGTAGCCTCTTGCGGCGGAGGGGTGGTGGGTGGGAACCCAGGGAGTTCCTTTGGCTTTCCGTAGACCTAGCTCGGACTTCACTAAAAAAGGGTGAGGAGGGAAGAGGGAGAGAGGACTTGAGCAACACAAAGGTAGATCGGAAGTCCGTAATAGTTTGGAAATGGTCAAGAAATTCCAGGCACGTTTCTCTCTAAATCCCTGGTAATATTCAAAATTGTATTTTCAAGTAAAAACAAGTTTAGAATTTACTTCTTGTTAATGCACAGATGAATAATCTGCCAAGGGCAAAGGGAAAAAAAAAAAAAGGAACAAAAGAAAGAAAGATGCTGAAATACTGTTAGTCATGCAAATAAAGGCTTCTTTCAGCACATTACAATATACTCCGGATTCGAGGGGAGGAGCCGTAGCCCGCTTGGGGCGAGGAGTTTTTGTTTTTGTTTTCATTTAAAGCTACAAAACAAATCCCGAAATGTCTTAACCGCTCTCTGGAGACACCCGGCCCTGCAGACAGGCGGTCGGGGGATGCCTTTTAGTTCGCAGTGCACAAAAAAATGACCGAGGTGGGGGGAAACGATGGAGTCCGCGGCGGAGGGGACAGGGAGGGACACGGTCGTGCCCCGCGCAGCCGTCGCTATCGCAGCACTGTGTCCCCGTTGCCGCCCGCAGCCTCCTCGCAGGGTCGCTTCGTCCCTGCAAAATCCCTCCAGGGTGTCCCGCCTAGCCGGGAAAGGCGGGGGCCGGCGGGGCGCAGGGGTCGCGCAGTGCTGCGTGCCCCGTGGGACCGCGGCGGGGCAGAGCGCGGAGCGAGGAGCCCACGGGGAAGTCGTGATTTCCCGTGGCGGACAGAAACACCAACATCGCTGGATAGATAAGAAAATGGAATACTGTATTTGATTTAGAAAGTTTGTACATATAGATAAACACGCAGTTAAGGAAACAATAGTTTAAGCGTCCTACGTGGAGTTTAAGAAGAGACCCCCCAAAGCTGCTATGAAATACTCAAAATAGCTTTTGCATAAGATAACTACAATTGCACCCTAAGCTTTTTTTTTTCTTTTTCTTATTTTTTTTCTATCGCTGAGGTCCCTTTTGAAAACCTAGCACGTCAGATTTTGACAGCTAAGTTTGTGCAAGGAACACCGAGTCAAGGAAAATAAAAAGGAGAGAGAGAGAGAAAGAGTGGGAGGGAGATAGACAGAGAGAAGGGAGGAAGAAAGAAGAGAGCAAATATCATATACAAGCATTTCTACACATATATTACAAACTGGGAAAATGACCGCATCATTAAGATATACATAATTCATATAAAATTTTGAAATAAAAATAAAAATCTGTTACAGTCATAACTATTCTTTTTCCACATTTATAACCAGTACCCACACAGGCAGTGACAGAAGTGTAGAAAAAAAGGTGCTTACGAATAAAATGATTGTCTGCTGAACAAAAAAACAGAAAATTGCATCTTGGCTGGACCATCACTTGGACTAAAAAAAAAAAAAAAAAAAAAAAAAAAAAAAAAAAAAAAAAAAAAAAAAAAAAAAAAAAAAAAAAAAAAAAAAAAAAAAAAAAAAAAAAAAAAAAAAAAAAAAAAAAAAAAAAAAAAAAAAAAAAAAAAAAAAAAGAGAGAGAGAGAAAGGGAGAGAAGAGAGAAAGAGAGAGAAATAGGACCAACAAAAAGGCGATAAACGTTTGTTATTTCCCTCTTCAAGGAGTTCCTTTTAATTTTTTTTTTTATTTTTTAGTTTTGTACAAATTCGATCGGAGTTTGCATTTGTTTGTCTGGTTTCTGTTTGTTTTCCTTTACTATAGAGAATATTTTTTCCCAGATACAAATTTAATCATCATCATCATGCAAGTGGGTGAAATGCGTCCATGGAAAAGCGCAAAGGAGAAATCGTGCTTGTCCTAAAAAGAATACAATTGTCACTTTTGCTTTGTTTTTTTTTTCTTTCTTTTTATATATATAATAATTATTATTTCCCTCCCCACCCACCCCTCCCGCTGCAGCACCAGCGTTTGTGACTGTTGAAGTTTTAGCTCCATCTCTTGGTGGTGGTGTTGGCTGACGGTGGTGGTGGATTCTCTGATCCCTGTCTGTTTGTTTGCTATTATGTTTGGGTCGGGTTTGGCCTTTTCTTTCCTCCCGGCTGTGTGTGTGCGTGCATGCGTGTGTGTGTCCTGATTCTAGGTTGCCTCGGTTTGTTTTGCTCGGGAAGGGGAGAGGGTGCTTGGCTGTTTGGATTTGGATTTTTTGTTTGTTTGTTTGTTTTCCGATATCATACATCACATTCCGAGTCGCTGGAGGTTACCGAGAGGATGGACGTGCCCGTCTCGGCTCTTTCTGTCAAACTGGAGACGCTGGTGGTCGGGCTGGCCGCCGTGGACGGAGACTCGGCCGAGCTGTGTGTCGGGCAGCCGGGCTCTGCCAGCGACCGCATGCCGCTCTGTCCTATCGCCTGGTGCTGGAGCCTGCATCGCGCCGGGAGACAAAACAACAGCACAGCCCCACTCAGACACCGGCCGCCGCCAAGGGCACGGCGCCCGCCCGACCCAGCGCCCGCCCGCCCGCCCGGGGATGGGCCCGGCCCGAAGAGGAACGGAGAGGACCCCTCGGCTGCAGCGCTGCGGACCCCGGTCCGGCCCGGCCGCTTTCCCTCAGAGCCCCGCGGAGCCAGCAGCGGCGGCGAGATGCAGGGCCAAGCCGCTCGCCCGGGCCGCGCTGCCCCCGCTGCCGGGTCAGGCCGCCTCGGGGGGCACAGCACCCAGCGCAGGCACAGCTAGAGGGGCCACGGCCGGAAAGAGGATGGGGAGCGGCGGGAGAAGCGGTTCCCGTCCCCAGGTTTGGAAAACACGAGCAGCGCCTTCTCTTTACCCCGACTGCCAATCATTCCTCCCCGCAGCACGGCGGGCCTAGGAGAAACCGTGTGTGGGTGAGCTCCTTAACGCTTGGCCACCGCGAAAAGCTGCACAGAGGGTTCCGTAGCGGGCAAGAATCGTACTGGATACCCATTTTGTGCTCGGGACAGTATCTGCTTAAATATTCCCCAGTGCACATACACTCTGGGGTCTGAGGCAGGGCTGGAGGGGAGGTCCTGTCCCAGGAACGCGGCACTATGGATAAAATAAAAGAAGGAGATTGTGGAACACAGTGCTTCTCTCCGCTCGAAATTTTAGTCCTTTATTCCTCTGATAGCCCAAATCACCTTAAAGGTACTGGTCCTTTCACCATCAACGCTTAAGGAAATATTGTCTTTGAACATTTCTTTGAGAGGCAATACATAATTTTTAGGTTCCCTAGCGTGCTGTGAATATTCCTCTGGGCCTGTTCATTCCTCTCGGAACCCGAAAAAAACCTGATTCAGGGATAAGAGCTAAAAGTCCTGGGCTGAGCAGCCAGCCTCAAACAGCTAGCGCTTAGCACTGCCAATGTGAAATAAAATACACTCCTTGCTCAAATGCTTCCCACTGGGAAATTTTCTATTTAACTGCTTGCAAAGAGCGCAAAAAAAATATAGACGGTTTATACTACATTTTTTATTAAAGTCGTCTAATTTCAGCCTCTTTGATTTTTTCTCCCATTTACAATTCCTGATGCATTCATCTGCTGTCAACAGCGTTGAGTCAACAAAAGCATCCATAGGCAACTTCTGTTTATTTACAGTCCTAAGCTGATCTGTTTTCCATTTAATGGAAATTAAATAGCGAGGCACTTTTAGGTTGCATTTTTCCTACAGAACCGTGAATCAATAGCACTAGTGCTATAATTAGGAGGAATTTAAGAGACAGCATTTACAAGAACAAGAAGTTTTGTTTACACGCTTACAGTGGTAGCCAAACTTAAATTAAAATAAAACCAATGAGTCGAGCTGGATTAGAGGTTCATTTTCATTTGCAAAATAAGTTTTACGGAGAGTGACGAGAAAGAAAGAATTAAAAAAAAAAAAAAAAAAAAAAAAAAAAAAAAAAAAAAAAAAAAAAAAAAAAAAAAAAAAAAAAAAAAAAAAAAAAAAAAAAAAAAAAAAAAAAGACACCGAGAGACACGCAAATAAATGCAAGCGTAAATGCACAGGAAACACACGACCAGGAGGCCAGGTCGCCATGTGGTGTAAACACAGGAATGGAGATGGTGGGAAAAAAAGATTCCCAGTCTCTTACATGTTTTTTTTCCTTTTTCTCCAAGAGCCAAAGAGCTCTGGGGTACGCGTGTGCTGGTCCCGCTGCGCATGCAGAGCAGCACGAACAATTGGAGCGGAGCCGCTGGCTCTGCCGAAACCCGCTCTGAACCGCACCGCCTGCCTCGGCCCTTCGCCGGGGGAACCGCGCCAGAGCTCTGCCAGGCGCAGATCCCGGCAAGCCGAAAGCCAAACCGGAGCCCACCGACCCGGAGCCGTGGAGTTTCCCGACCCCCGCTGCCGCTGCGGGAGGGAGGCCGGGAGAGCCGGGCGCTGCCCCTGCCGCAGCCGATGCGCCCCGAGCACATCCAGACAAACACGCGCGGACGGAGCTACCCACGCCTGCCCTGTCCGCACCCCGGGAGCCTGTGCGGAGCCGGGGCACTGCTCGAGGCACGTCAGGCAACTTTGAGCCGCGCCTGTCCCCGTCGCATCCCTGCAGCTGCCGAGAGGAGACCTACCCGCCCCGGGGAGGGGGGACCGATTTCTCCCGGTGGCGGTGATGGAAGAGAGGAGAAGAGGGAAAGGAAAGGCAGAGGCGAGCTGCCGCCCAGGCAGCTGCCGACCCGCGGAGTGCGGCCGTCCGCCCGCGGGGTCCCGCCGCCCACCTCGCCTCCCGCCCCGAAGCGTGGCACCACAGCCCCACTGACCTGTTTTTAGCCGCTGCTGCTCTGTCTCTTTGCCTTCGGTTTTTGAACCAGTTGCCTACTTGCGTGGGGGTGAGCCCCGTGGCCTGAGCCAGTTCCCTTTTCTTGCTGGGGTTGGGGTAAGGGTCCTGCAGGTACCACTCCCTCAGGAGGCTGCGAGTCCTCTCCTTGAAGCAGTGCGTCTTCTGCTCACCATCCCAAATGGTCCTGGGCAGCGGAAACTTCTTCCTCACCCTGTATTTATCAACCGGCCCCAGCGGGCGACCCCTTAGCTTCTCGGCCTCCTGGTAGTGCGCTTCGAGCCACATGGCCTGCAGCTTGCCGTGGGACTCCTTGGTGAATTTGTGGTTCTCCAGGATGTGGTAGAGGTCTCGGAAGTTGCCCGTGTGGAAGGCCACCACCGCCCGGGCTCGAAGGATGGACTCGTGCTTGTTGATGGCCTCGCATGCCCCCGGCGCCACCGGCAGCGACCAGAGGAATCTCCCCAGCCTCTCTATGTCTCCAGTCTCCTCCAGCGTCTCGCAGACACTGGCCACTTGCTCCGGGGAGAAGTTGAGTGTGGGCAGCTGAAACATTGACAACTCTTCGTGGGGTGCCCGGGAGCTGCCGCCTCCACCGCCGCCGGCACCGGGGCTGCAGCCCGAGCCGCTGCCGCTGCCGCCGCCGCTGGCGAGAAGGAGGGAGCGGTGGTGCGGATCGGCGGCGAAGTTTGGCAAGAAGAAATGGGTGGGATAAAGCTCTAGCGGGGACCTGAACACCATGGGATGACCGGGGAGAGGGGGAGATAAATCAAGGAGAAAAGAAAGAAAGGGAGGAAGAAGGGAGGAAAGGGCACACGCACCGCGCACGCATCCACACCCGCACACGCACACACAGCCACATAGAGGCACGGGGGCACACACACTCACACGCACACGCGGGCACACGCACACGCGCGCTCACACCCCCCCCACACGCACACGCACTCACACACACCCGGCCCCGCGCCGCCGCCGAGTCAGGATTCAGTGATTCAACAGCGATCGCCCTAATGACAACAGCCTCATAATATCTCCCCTAAATCCACAGTGAGTGCAGCGCTGAAACATTTTGTTTCGCTTTTCTATTGGTCTTCTGAGTGTCGTTGTGGCGTTGCCATGGCAGCCGCTGCCAATCACTGTCAGCCCTGCCAATCATTACGGAGTACGTAAGGAAGGTTTTTACCACTTCGCCCAAAAGCACGGGGGGGAGGGAAGCGGGGCGGTTGGTGGAAAAGCCTGGTTTGTTGTTTGGATTTTTTTTTTTCCTCCTTAATCTTTGCAACTCCTAATCTCAGCACTTCCCCTTCTCCCTGTCTCTTCCCCCTCCCTCTCCACACCCCTCCTAAATAAGGGATCAAATAATGCGAAAAGCAGTGTGCACATATTTGTTGAATGGGATGAGCAATTAGAGGGTGGAATATTATTGTGATCTTAACGAGCCTCGTTAAAGCTAAAGGAGATATGGGGGAAAAGTAAATGGGCCAGGCTGGGATACACGTTCGGATAAAGGGCTCCTAACTGAGACAATTTACACATGATTTGCACGTAGTTTCACTTCATTCTGCCTATCTGAGCACTAATAGTGCTGGGGAAGAAAAGAAAGATGAGATCATTAGACCCATCCTCATGCCGGTGACCCTCCCAGAAGCAGGCACATACAGTACAGGCTGGATTTAGCTCTGGTTCACCGAAGAGTCTCTCCTCCCCTCTCCCTCTCCCTGCCCCTCTCCGCGACAGGCAGGATCCGCTGCTAGCGGAGTTCCGCGGCCACTCCGCCGGGAGCCGCCCAGGGCGCCCAGCCCGGGCCCGCTTCGGCCGCCCGGCTCCGCGCTCGACCCCGGCGGCGCCCCGCTCTCTGCCTCCCTGTCCCAGTCCTCGCCTCCCCACCCTCCCGCTCCTTCTCGTCTTCGCCTTCGTTCTCCTTTCTCTTCCCTCTCTCCACTTTGTTTTATTTCCATTCTATCTTTCCTCCTTCCACTCGCCTCACCTCTTCTAGCCCCTTCCTTTCTCCGGAGCCCCGCGACCTTGCGAGGCTGCTCCTCACCCCCAACCCGTCGGGGCTTGACACAGGACCTCTCCTTTTCCCCGCTGTTTCTGCCCCGAACTTGCATGACTCTTGTGCGGGCATGAGGAAAGGGAGGAGAGCATAAGCGGGTTTGAGCCCAGATTCTTTTTTTTTATTTTATTTTTTTTTTTTTAATTGAGAGTAGGAAAATCTCCGTGGTGATGGTTTGAGTCCATCCCTCAGTAAGACATAGCTGGATCGCTAGACCTTGCTACCATGCAACTATATTTATTATTAGGTATGTTGCTTTTAAGAAGATTTAATCAGCATCTTGAGCTGGTAACTCTTTTGTTTGGTTTCTGTAGCTATGGAAGTGTGATTTACAGAGATTTGTACGGGTCATGGACATCTTTCCAGACTTACTGTGTATATTTAGACAGGACTTTGCTTGGTGTTAAAAAGTGTATATTTTGAATAGGTTCACACACAGTAGCAAACAATACCGACATTGTAAAGGCATGTACAACGAGTATTGAAACGCAGCATCCAGACTTCAACTAATCTGCCCTCAATAAAGCTGAAATAATTATCCTAAGCCGCCTTTCTAGAAGAAAAATCATTGAGGAATTCAAAACTTTTTTAAAGATCTTTTCTGCATTCCGATGGAGATCGAGGGGTGAGGCTTGGAGCCCAAACTACTTTCAGACATCAATGGAGGGAAGGAGGGGGGGAAGTGAGATATTACAATTAAAATGTGAAAACATAGCGTGACTTGCCCTATCCGAAGGATAATAATAATACTGCTATGGGTGGTAGAAGTTCTTTAGCTGCGCTCCAAACTGGTTGTGATCCTTTCACAGCGCACTCCTCGTGAAATAATTCCAAGTGGCAGATGAATAGGTCCAGTTGGAAGAGCTGCTGGACTGGAAGAAGCTCGCTGTATTACACATTCATCTGATTTCCACTAAACTGTCATCGGTGTGCTACATGGCTTCATAGTCCTAATGGAAATAACTCGCCCTCTTAATTTTTAGTGATCTGGTTAAGCACTTCTGTTAACAGACTTGGGAAAAACTTCTTTTCACCCTCCCACCTTCCCTGGCTCATATTTCCAGTTGAACAGCTAAGAAGGGAAAGAGACTTCTCAGCCCCTCTACAAATCGACTTGGAGGTATTAATTGGACAACAATATGTTTAGCCAAAGATTTTAATACACACACACACACAATCTTTTTCTTTGTAATCCTTTCCTTTTATGTAAAGGATTACAGAGGGGAGAGTGGGGGGAATTCCTGCGGGAGTTTCTTAATATTTGATTCTATTTTTCTTCAAGCTGCAAATTAAACTCCCTTAAAATGTATTTCCAGAAAAACATCCAAACCGCTTCTCTTTTTTTCCTTTTTTTAACCTCACGGACTATCACACACTGGTCATTCGCCTATAGGTTGCGACTCTTCCATGAGGATTCCTAATGAATCTCTCAAAGCTTCTATATGTATTTTCTTTCCTTCTCTTTCTTTCTTTTTTTCCTTCTTTCCTTCTTTCTTTCTCTCCCTATTTCTCTCTTCCTCTCCCCCCCTTCCCCCCCCCCATTTCTTCACTCAGACATATGAAACATGTAACAACTGCATTTCTGATGAAAACATTTCTTCCAAAATATCCTTCTATAGGATATTTCAATGCTTCTACTCCGTGTGCGGGCACGTTTAAAACCAAACAAACCCACAGCCTTGCCTGTTAGCTAATATCAAGGTCTTCCTGAACCCCACTCTCCTCTCTGTGCCGCGAAGGTCCAGCGCACGAGCTCTGCTAGCCAGAGGCTCTTGCAAGGACGGAGTCAGCATCCTAAAATGTTTCCGTCAGCTCCCGCAGCTCGAGGAAGGGGGTCATCGAGGCACGGTGGTCGTCAGCCAGACCTCGGGGAGCGGATCCTGCGCTTACCCAGCCCGACCGGGGACTCAGCGCTCCCCTAAGCCTGTTAGGGACACACTCTCATGTCCTGAAATGTGCAAGCAGATAATTGTTGGCGCTCCAGCTTTGTGTGAGGAGGCCAGGGTGTAAATGGCTTTTAATGACTGCAGCTGCTGGCTGCAAATTGTCAATGGAATCGGCTAATGCCGAGCCAGGACCCGCCGGGCGGGCGCAGCCGCTGATCCCCGCGGGCGCGGAGCGGAGCGGAGCGGCGCGCGCAGCGGGGCGTCCCGCCGGGCGCGGAGCCGGGAGCAGAGCCGGGAGCGGGCGGCAGCGGGAGCGGCAGCGGGAAAACGGCGGCAGAGGCGGCGGACGGGGCAGGGCAGAGCAGAGCAGAGGCTGCCCTCTCGGCTGGGGAAATCCTTTCCGGATCCTGTAAGTTTATTACGGGCAGGCTGAGATCCCGCGGGGGATCGGCCAGGGGGTGCGCGGCCTTGGTCCCCCACCCCCCACCCCCTCTTCCCCGGCCATTCCCCACCCCCGCTCTGGGACCCGGGGGTCTCCCTGTGCTGACGATAGCCGCCTTCGCCAGGCCGGGGAACCTGCCGTCCGTTTCCAGTCAATCTTACTTGGACCCACATGATTCATTGTTTCAGCTGCTAGAATGACATGTGGCTCTGCAGGGCAGGGGAGCAGCTCCCACCCAATTCCCCAAACCTCGCCCTGAACAAACCCGGGCAAACAAGTGCTCTCTTATGGAGGGAGCCCCACGAAGTTGTGAGCGTTTGTGTGTGCACCCAACCTGGAGGACCTTTCTGGGGAGAGGAAGGGAAGCAGAGAGAGAAGCTCTTTTATTTCACTGCTTGTTTTGATGGTCGCTCCCAGGAGGCTGCGATTTTCTCCTGCCTAGTTAGTGCCCCTTAATCCTGACTCGGGAGTGATTCAATCGACGCTTGCAAACGCTGATTATTTTTTTTATCGGGGGAGGCAGGGATTCAGACGGGGCTGGGGCGTAGCGGTCGAGGTACCGGCGAGAGGAAAATGCAGCACTGCGGCCGCGGCGAGGGGGAAGGCGAGGGGGGGAGAAAGGGAGAGCCCGGGGCAGGTAAAAGTGTTGGTCTTGTTAGGCTTTTTGATATTGTTGTTGTTGTTATTATTATTATGACGATTTAATTGAATTTTTGTCAGTCTTCAGGGGTAAGCGCTGACAAATTTGCACTGATGCCATCTTTACAAACACATCTATCTTCCCCCTTTCTTCCCTTTTTCTTTCTTTCTCTCTCTCTTTAGTCACGATTTTCCGGGATAATGAATGCGCATTTGATGGGTGTGTAAGATGTGGCCCATCCCGCTCCCATAACAGAGCCCTGTGGATGCGGTGCGTGCTGTACCGGTCGTGATAAGAAACAAGTGGGCAAGTGATATTTTTTAGCTGTTTGGATTAGCTTTAGAAGACGAGGGGGTATTTCATTAGTGTTCCAAAATAGTGCTCCAGCTTCCAAGTTAAAATTTTGGGGATCCCTCCTCTGCTATATTTTGCATAAGCACAGAGGCTGGAGGAGGAAAACGTGAGATACTTATTATTATTACTATTACAATAATTATTATTATTTTTAAAAGGGAGAAAAGGAATGCATCTCGCCTCTGCGGCGAGATGCCCGCTTAGGAAGCAGCGAACTTTCCGGAGGAGGTGAGGAAGCCGTAGCCGCCTCTCGGCTAAGCTGGGCTGCTTCCCCCCATCCCTCTGGAGTTGCCGGTAGCTCCCATCAGTCGAAAGTTACCTGCTCCTCAGCAGCAGCAGCCGTACAGTCGCTTGCTCCTGAATTAAACACAACTCTTAATGATGTAGCATTATCAACAAGGGACACTTGATTGACTGATCTAGGTATGATATATGTGCTGGGCGTCTAAATTAAATATTAAGTGAAATACTTAGCTCTAATTAGAAATCGTAACCTAGCAATGAAAACTTGAAGAAACAATTTGCGGGGGGAGGAGGGGACAGCCTTTAAACGCGGCAGCGAGAAAAGTAGCAGTGATGTGTACAGAGTCTGACATATTAGCAACAAGCAGCAACTTTGAAATGATTGACGTATCATTAAAGCCATCAGGCTGATTTTAATAATTCTTCTTCAAGGGAA